TATCAGCAGCACATAGACGGGTACTGCTTTCTTACCCGTTCCGTCATTCTGTGTCTTTGGGTTCAAGCATTTAGTCTGTTTACGTTGGAAGTAATTATTGTTAGATTTGTACTTACCATCATTTCTCACTTGTTTTATAGTTCTTTTCTGTTCCTTTTCTTGCTGTCTTCTCTCATGGCTTATTGGCTTTCTTTAGTGATACTGCTTAGATTCCTTTCTCTTTATTTTTTTTTTTTTTCGTATTAGTGGTTTTTGATTTGTGGTTACCATTAGGTTTGAATATAACATCTTACGCATATGGCAGTCTGTATTAAGTTGATGGTTGCTTAAGTTTGAACCCTTGGTTCCCTCCCCCCTGTCCACACATTTTAGGTATATGGTGTCATACTTCACATCCTTTTATTTTGTGAGTTCCTTCACAGATTTTATAGAGATGGTTATTTATACTGCTTTTTTGCTTCCTGCTTTTCTTACTCCTTCTTAGGTCTTTCCTTTCCACTCAAGTGTCCTCTTTAGTATTTCTTGCAGGGCTGGTTTAGTGGTCACAAATTCCTTTAACTTTTGTTTGGAAAACTCATTATCTTTCTTTTTTTGAATGATAGGCTTGCTGGATAGAGTATTCTTGGCTGGAGGTTTTTTCTTTTAGCACTTGGAATATACCATGGCACTCTCTCTCCTTTTTTTTTTTTTTTTTTTAAAGATTTTATTTATTTATGTGACAGATCACAAGTAGGCAGAGAGGCAGGCAGAGAGAGGAGGAAGCAGGCTCCCTGCTGAGTGGAGAGCCCAATGTGGGACTCAATCCCAGGACCCTGGGATAATGACCTGAGCTGAAGATAGAGGCTCAACCCACTGAGCCACCCAGGCGCCCATCATGGCACTCTCTTCTGGTCTGCAAAGTTTCTGCTGAAAAATCAGCTGATAATCTAATGGGTTTCCCTTGTATTTAACTGCTTTCTTTCCTCTTGCTGTTTTACTACTGCTTTTTTGCCATTTTAGTTACTACACGTCTTGGTGTGGACCTCCTTGGGTTGATTTTGTTGGGGGTTCTCTGTGCCTCCTGGATCTGGATTTCTGTTCCTTTCTCCAGATTCAGGACGTTTTCAGCTATTATTTCTTCAAATAAATTTTCTGCTTCCTTTTCTCTGTGTTTTCCTTCTGGGATCCATATAATGCAAATGTTAACTACTCTTGATGGTGTTGCTGAGTTCCCTGTCTTTTTTCATTTTGCGTTATTCTTTTTTCTCTTTGCTGTTCAGCTTGATTTCCATTACTCTGTCCTCCAGATCACTGATCTGTTTTTTGCTTCCTCTAGTGTACTCTTTATTCATCTAGTAAAATTTCTCCTTAACACTGCTTTTTGTTGCATCCTATGAGTTTTGGTATGTTGGGTTTTGTTTTCATTCAGATCTAATAAGTATTTACTAATTCACCTTTTGATTTCTTCTTTGATCTGTTGGTTAAGATATGTTGTTTAATTTCTCTGATTTTGTGATTTTTCAATGTTTTCCCTTCTGTTACTGATTTCTAACTTTATCCTACTTAGGGAAAATACTTTGTATGATCTTTATCTTTTTTTTTTTTTTTTAATGAGAGAGTGAGCGCACATGAGTGGTAAGGGAAGGGCAGAGGGAGTAGAAGAGAGAATGTTAAGCAGGCTCCGTGCCCAGTGTGGACCCAACACAGGACTCAGCTGTATAATCCTGAGATCATGACCTAAGCCAAAGTCAAGAGTCAGATGGTTAACCGACTGAGACACTTAGGTGCCCTGATCTTTAGTCTTTAGAATCTGTTGGGACTTCATTTATGGGCTGACACATAGTGTATCCTGTACAATGTCCCATGTGCACTTGAAGAATACGTGTATGCTCTTTTTGGGTAGAATATTTTGCATATGTCTCTTAGATCTAGTTGCTGTGTTTAGTGTTTTGTTTTCTTGTCTTCTAATTGTTCTATCCATTATTGAGAGTGGGATATTGACATTTCCAATTATCATTATAAAACTTTCTCCCTTCAATTATGTCAGTTTTTGCTTCATATAATTCAGTAATCTGTTATTACATGTATAACTTTATAATTGTTATAGCTTCTTGTGGTGTTAAATCTTTAATAATATATAATGTCTCTTTTGGTCTCATAACCATTTTTTTATTTTCAAGATTTATTTGAGAGAGAGAGTGTAAGAGAGAGGATACGATGGGGTGAGGGGAAGAGGGAGAGGCAGACTCCTTGCTGACCAGGGATTCCAATGTGGGGCTCAATCCTGGGACTCTGGGATCGTGACCCGAGCGCAAGGTGGATGCTTCACCAACTGAGCCACCCAGACACCCCCTCTTTTTTTTTTTTTAAGATTTTATTTATTTATTTGACAGAGAGAGATCACAAGTAGACAGAGAGGCAGGCAGAGAGAGAGAGAGAGAGAGAGAGAGAGGGAAGCAAGCTCCCCGCTGAGCAGAGAGCCCGATGCGGGACTCGATCCCAGGACCCCGAGATCATGACCCAAGCCGAAGGCAGTGGCTTAACCCACTGAGCCACCCAGGTGCCCCCAGACACCCCCTCTTATAACCTTTTCTGATTTGAAGTCTCTTGTGTCTGATGGTGGTATTACCCTCCCTGCTCTCTTTTGGTTACTGTTCATGTGAAAGATCTTTATCCATTCTTTCACTTTCAATCTTTTTTTTTTTTTTTTTTTTTTTTTTTTTTAATCTTTGGATCTGAAGTGAGTCTCTTTTAGACAACTTATAGTTGGGTCATGGTTTTTAAGGCATTCTGCCAATCTCTGTATTTGATATGAGAGTTTCATCAATTTACACTTAAAGTAATTACTGATAAGGAGGGACTTACTTCTTTCATTCTATCTGAATCCTCTATACCTTATAGCTTTTTTTGGTCTCTCAGTCCCTATATTACTGTCTTGTTTTGTGTTTAATTTCCTTTTTGTAGTTAAATATCTAAATTCCTTTCTTACTTCCTTTTGTGTAAATTATATAGATATTTTCTTTGTGGTTATCAGGGATTATGTTCAGCTTCCTGAAGTTACAGCATTCTTATTTGAAATTATACCAGCTTAACTTTGTTACTCTACAAAGATTCTGCTCCTCTACAGTTCTGTCCCCACCCATTTTGGTGACTGATGTCACAAAATTACATCTTTGTACATTGCATGCCCCTAAACACAAGCTATTTTAAATGCGTTAGTCTCATATAATTATGTAAGAAGACAAAATGTGGGGTTAGAAACCAAAGTTAAAGTAATACTGTCTTTTATCATTGTCCATGTATCTACCTTTATTAAGATCTTTATTTCCTCATACAGCTTTGAATTATTTTATAGTGTCCTTCTGTTTCACCTGTAAGACTCCCTTGAACATTTCTTTCAGGCAAGTCTAGGGGTAATAAACTCCCTTTTGTTTTTCTGGGAATGTCATAATTTCCCCCCCTTCTTCTGAAGGACAGTTTTGACAGGCACAGGATTTTTGGTTGACAATTTTGTTTCTTTTAGCTCTTTGAATATATGGGTCCATTGCCTTCAGGCATCCAAAGATTCTGATGAGAAATCTGATTATAAACTTACTGAGGATCCCTTGTGTGTGACAGATTGTTTCTTTGATGCTTTCGAGATCTTCTCTTTGTCTTTGTAGAAAACTTGATAGGTCTTGGATTCCTTTGGCCATGGTCATTCCAAAGGTCATGGATTCCTTTGAGTTCATCTTTGTTGGATTCTTTTGAGCTTCTTGGATGTTTATGTTCATGTCTTTCATGAAATTTGGTGGTGGTATTACTATTTTTACAACGTCAGCCATTCTAATAAGTGTGTAATGGTGTGTGATTCATTTGCAATTCTCTAATGATATATGATGTTGAATGTCTTTCATATGCTTATTTGCCATCTGTTTATCTTCTTATTCAGATCATTTGCCCCACAAATTGGCTGCTACTTAGAGCTTTTGCGCTTTCTTGCCACTGAAGGTTTGGCACGTCTTCTCTCACAGTGGCTGTTCCCGCAGTACCCTTTCACAGATTCAGCCTGACACGTCCCGTGGCATTGCTGGCTTCCTCCTTTGTGCCCCTGTCTTACTCTCTCTGTTGTTCATCTTAGCTTCTCTAATCTCCTGTTGTGTTTGTATGTTTTAAACTTTTCTTTCTTCTGCAATGCTAAACACTTCTCTCAGGCAGGAGTGTCTTTCATCCTTTTTTATGTCACCTGCACTTCTTGAATACTGGGCAGCTGGAGCTAAGGCCATGTTGCAGAAGGAGGGTGACCAGCTGTTCCTGTTGGCCTGTAGCTGGTCTGCCTTTAGCACCAAAGGTCCCATGTCTAGGGAAATCCCTTAGTCCTGGGTAACCTGGGACAGTTGGTTATTGTGTGTAGATGGTTCCTAGGATAAATATTCGAAGATGTCTCTATAATGAATAGCATCACTGCTTCCGTCTTTGTGCCCTTGTTATACTCTGTGTGTTCTTTTGTCTTAGCTTCTTTGAGTCCCAGTTGCATTCACAGATGTTTAAGTTCGCTTTTCTTTGCAGTGGTGAACACTTCTTGTGGACAGGATTGTGTTTCATTCAAGTTTTTTTTTAAGGATTTATTTTATTTGCGAGAGAGACAGAGCCCACAAGCAGGGGGAGGGGCAGAGGGAAATGGGGAAAGAGAATCCTCAAGCAGACTCCCCACTGAGCGTGAAGCCCGACACGAGGCTTGATCCCAAAACCCTGAGATCATGACGTGATTGAAATCAAGAGATGGACACTTAAATGACTGAGCCACCCAGATGTCCCTTCATTCAAGTTCTGTCACCTGGACCTCGCTCACTCTCTGGCGCCTGCTCTTCTCACATGTTCAGTGAAAGGCTGACTGATTGAATATACATTGATGGAATGTTTTCAATAAATTTTTGCTTTCTTCACAAAGTAGAATATAAACAGTGGACATCCTAGGTAGCTTGTTGTTTCCCAGAAACTCAGGAAAGAAGTGGAGATTGAATAGGAATATGCTCTTTCAGGGACCATTGTCATTCGTGGATGTGTTTGTGGACTTTACCTGGGAAGAGTGGCGGCTGCTGGACCCCTCCCAGAAGCACCTGTACCGGAGTGTGATGCTGGAGAACTACAGCAACCTGGTGTCCCTGGGTAGGAACTCCCTCCCCGAAAGGACTGTGTCTAATCTCCAGGCTTCCCCTTCTTGGTTGCTGAAAGCTGGGTGGCTTTTGGCTTTTGCAATGTTCTTAGTGATTTGGGATTTATATTTCAAGGCCAGATTTTCTTAGTCTCCTTTTGGCATCGGAATATGCTAGTTGAAAACTTTGCCATGGGACAGAAGGGCAGCTTTATTATGCTGCCTCAAAACTCTACCCCCTTCGTGAACTTCGTGACTTTTCTCCCTTCGTGAACAGGGTTCGAGATAGTTTTGGTCCAGGTTGTTTGTGATTTTACATTCATAGGGTATCAAGACAGCAAACCCGACATCATCTTCACGTTGGAACAAGAAGAACCGTGGATGATGCTGGCCCAAATCCCAAGTCAAGGCCATCCAGGTGAGCGATGAGGATATTTAGATCTTTTCTTCCTTTTCAGAATTGATGTGAATTCCGACGTGACATTCACCTCATGTTTGTACTTTCTGTCTTGTTCATAACCATTCTTTCATAGTTCATCTCTTTTTCTGTGGCATTCTCTGTTTCCTGCGTACTTTCCCAGGAGAGTAGACTCATTTTGTTATGCAGTTGAACAGGCTTTTTCTCTGTATCTCTCTTGGTGTGACTTTCACTCTTCCTTCTACCTTCTTTCTTTTAAATTATATTTTTAAAATCTTTTACACTTACAATCAACAACCATAGTCCCAGTGTCCTTTCCTGTCCTTCAGATCTACTAGAAGTCATCACTGTCCCTTCCAAGTGCACTCCTGCCCCCTGGATATTAGTTACCCTCTCTCGAGCCCTCCGCCTCCCTCATGGGACACCCACAGAACCCACTCACACATTGCATGACCAAGTGCGTGTTCTTTCCATGCTTTACTGGCTTCTCTTGTTCTCCCCTTTGAGTCCAAAGGCACTTTTCATAGTCACTACTTTTCTACATATTGTAACCTTGGAAGACATCCATTCTGAAGATTTGAGCTATTTTTCTCTTTTGGTAATTGGAAGCCTGTCCCTGTTTCATCTGGCCTTTGGTACCGGGCATCTTCCCTGCATGTGCCACTCCTTTGTCTCATTTTCAGAAACTGGAATTGTTTGTCGCATTGCTCAGTAGCTACATCGAACTTTCTTCTCACCTTTCTCATTCTTTATTCTTTCTGCTCTGCTTATAGCTCTTTCTCTTGGCACTGGAGAGTCAGCGTAAATCTCCTTTATACACAATTTTCTTCACTAGGGTTGTTGATATCTCTTAATATTTTGGTTTTCTAAGAAGAAGTCTTTTAAGGTCCCCATGGTCCCAGTTCCCACCCAGAACAAGGCCAGTATCTCATTTTTTTTTTTTTAAAGATTTTATTTATTTATTTGAGAGAGAGACAGTGAGAGAGAGCATGAGTGAGGAGAAGGTCAGAGAGAGAAGCAGACTCCCTGCGGAGCCGGGAGCCTGATGCGGGACTCGATCCCGGAACTCCAGGATCATGGCCTGAGCTGAAGGCAGTCGTCCAACCAACTGAGCCACCCAGGCGTCCCCAGTATCTCATTTCTTGATCATTCTATTTATTAACCAAATGTACACATCTTCCTCCTTTTGTTCGTCTTGATACTGCTGTAGGATAGATTTCCCTGACGTGGCTGCTCTGTCACAGGCGTAATGGATCCATTAGTCTTTGTATCGTTAGGATTGCTTCAGCTGCATTTCTGATTAATCCTAAATCAGCCTATGAAACAGCAGTTATTTATTACAACACATCACAAAAAGTCCTGAAGTGGGGCAGCTGTAGGGGTGACTAAGCGATTCGGTAAGTCACCAAAGGCCCATCTCTGCCCTGCCATTCTGTGTACCCCAGCATTTTCTTCAGGTTCACTCCCCTCCTGGTCACTGATGGCTGTGACCGTTCCAGCCAACACCTGCAGATATACCAGTGGCCAGGAGAACAAGAAGAACTGCTTTTCCCACATGGCTCTTTCTTTCTAATCAGGTGGTAAAGCCTATTCCAGGAAGTCTCAGCAAACTTGTGCTTGGTGGGCTAGGTTTTTATCCCAGGTCCCTGTCTGCAGAAGACTCTGGCAAGGGAAATGGGCCCGGCACTGTTGGCTCAGATAAGTGGTGCTTCATCTTCTGGGGTGGGGGTAGAGGTAGCAGTGGAGAAGGGTCCCCATTTCCCTGAATGAAGCACATGGCCTTAAGGATGGGTTTGGAGGAAAAGTCAGGTTTCTGCCAGTCAGGACAAGGGAGGAGGGATCGTTGGAGGTGGCGCTGGCGGCCTTCATCTGCCTCTTTGGCCGGGCGGCTTCCAGTCAGACTCTCCTTCCAGTCCGTACGTCTTCAAACATATTCCACCATTCCTGTTTCCCATTTGTGCTATATTAGTGGAAGTCTTGGATCCTCGTTCACAGGTAACATCTGGTAATGTGGAGTTAAAGATAAGTTATTTATGTGCAACCAGCCAGACAAGTCCAGAGTGGGAGAGACACGTGTAGTGTAGAAAACATTGAAAAAAAATCTGAAGAGCTAACCCCAATGAAATAACTTCCAGTAGAGTGACTAGGGTATAAGAAGAGACAGTGTGTGTATCCTGGGGAGTGTGGAAGAAGGGGGTGGTGAAGGAGAATGAACTCGCCGCACTGTTATTCTGAATAATCATCACTGGGGGAAAAATCAATGTGCAGTAGAATAAGCTGGTTATTTTGAAATACGGAAGCGGATACCATAATAAAGAGCCAAAGGGGATGAAGGGGGTTTTTCCTGGGGAGTAGAACACCGAGGGGGGCAGGGTGAACAGAATGCTGCTGACGACAGAACCCAAAAGCCAGAATGAGACAGTGGAGCAGCAACAAGACCCAGGACTCGGTCCTCGGGCACAATGTCAAGTATTTGGAGGCTGACCAGGAGAGAATGGTAGACCCAATCTAGACGTCCTCAAGTATAATATGCTGACCAAAGCAACAAATAGGAAAGAGCATGAACAGAACATGGCAGCAAGTCGGGCTTGGAGATGGCAGATCAGAGGACCTTTATATCTCATTCCAGGTTTTCCTGCCTCTCAAATCTGATCCCTCTTCATTTTGTGGACAGTCTCCAAATTATATTTTCCCAAGCACAAGTTCCCAAGTTGGGGAGTTACCTTCTCCTAGATGCCCTGAGAAATGAACGTTGGGAACTTTGGACTTTCATGGGAACTTTGGACTATCATGATAGCTTGAGAGGGAGTGTTACTGGCTGTTCTGTGGTTCTAAACTCAGAAATGTTTCCATCAAGAAGAAAATAGGCCAGAGAGCAACAAATCTTTGCCTGGGAATCAGATTTGCTCATGTGTTTGGCTAATAGTCTTATCCCTGTAGACTTTCAGAGCTCATGGACACTAAATCTGTCCTAACACTCTACCCGGTAACCCTTCTGTGGCTGGAACCATAACCCTCCTACTTCCCCTGGTTAGCCACAGTTCTGTCATCTTGATTTCCTAGGAAACCTTAACACATTTTCTGTTGAGCATTCTCTTTGCAACAATAATGGCAGATAATGATATTATGGTTGGTATCTTAAGGGAAATTTCAGAGAATTATAGAAATCAGGAAATGATACCAAAGCCAATGAATGGAAGACAGAATTTTCTATGCTTAAATATTATTTAACCATGATTGAAGATGATTACTGGCTGTGGTTCAACAGTAATCCCTGGAAATTCCACTTGTACTGACAGAATTCAGATTGTGAAGCTATAGAATAGTATTATCCCAAACAACCATCGTTTTTTTTTTTTAAGATTTTATTTATTTATTTATTTATTTGACAGACAGAGAGCACAGTAGGCAGAGAGGCAGGCAGAGAGAGAGAATTGGGGGAAGCGGGCTCCCTGCTGAGCAGAGATCCTGATATGGGGCTCGATCCCAGGACCCTGAGATCATGACCCGAGCCGGAGGCAGAGGCTTTAACCTACTGAGCCATCCAGGCGCCTCCCTGCCCCAAACAACCATCTTGAGTGTAGCCACAGAAGACAACGGAAAAGGGAACTGTGCTCAGAGAGCAGAACCGAGGCCTTACCAGGCCACTGCCACAGCAGGAAGTCCTTGCACAGCTTGCCCAACCAGGGTGTCCGTGCACTGTGAGCTGGTGCCTGCTATGTGGCATTCGCTATGGCTGCTCTCCCAGAATGGGGACTCCTGTTAGATCAGTCTTCAGTTTTTACATCTTTATGACTATGTCATTCCTATTCACAGGTGAATCATGCAGCTATGCAATGGCTAATTTTTGTTCACACATCATTTTTTTCTTTTGAGTTGTTCTATTTGCCTGCTGAGTTTTCTCTCTTCTTACCATTCGTGTATTTGTCGAACCCCTGTGCTATGTTCAGCTGCATTAATGATTCTGTCTCTTCCTGATGAGGTCGCTTCGTTGTCCCTTGTTGTGCTTCAGCGACCCTAGTTGACCTCATACCCAGGCTGTACTACAGTGTTTTATCCTGGAGTCTCCTTTTAGATTTTATTTTCCATATTTATTCTGTGTCATCTTTTTTCTTAGTTTGTTTTTTTGGAGCACCTCTTTGAGAAGCTTCCTGTGAAAGAGTGCATGTAACATAGAATTGGAGACCTGTGTCTCTGAAGAGGTTTATGCTTCTGAATGCTCTGTGTTTTGTCCCCTAATGATGCTGATGTCATTAGATTAAAGACAGATGCTGTTCTCACTTTGATCCTTTATACAAAACAGTTTTTTGGGTTTCTCTGGAAACTTTATTCCCTGCTGCTTGTCCTCAGTGTTCTGAAACATCACACTGATTTTTTAGTGTGTGTGTTTATTTTCATGTATTTGGGTATGCAGTAGAACTTCATTCCCAAGAGGACTATAAATTGGTTTGCAGTGTTTTCTGAGTTTCTTCTAAGTTCAGCACAGTGTTTGGCACATAATAGGGATTCAGCAATTATTTGTTGAAAGAGTATAATGCTGAGATGCCTTCCAACTGGTTTATCTTTCTTATTTTTACTTGTGCCTATGTTACCTTCTTTACCAACATTTTAAAACTTAAAACCCATCCCGAGTCATTGTCAGTTTTCTGTGCCTGTCTTCATTTTTCGTTTTATTTGTTCTCCCTGGCCAGGAGTTTTGGCACATTTACACTTGAGGTTTTACTTATATTTAGAGCCAATATATGAAACTAAAAGTATACTCTCTTGACATGGCATTTTTAAGGTAATTTTATGCTCTGCCAGGTTCATGTTATTTTTAACAGACAACTGTTTTCATTGCTAGAAAAAGTCGGGGAAATTGATCGTATGGAATGGCATCAGGAAAATCAAGGCAAGCTGGAAAGTATGGCAAAAGGCTACGAATGTACTACATTTGGAAAACTGTGCCTTCTTAGTACAAATTATGTTTCTTCAGGACAAAACCTTCATAAATATGTTACACGCGGAATGAGTTTTAAATATAATACAGATTTCAATAGTAATCACGCTGGAAAGAATGATCCTAATGAGTTTCATGCATATAGGGAATCATTCCACCATTCTAAACATGAGCAAACTGTTATTGGAATAAAATACAGTGAAAGTAATGAATCTGGAAAAATTGTCAACAAGAAGTCACAACTCATATGCCAACAAACGTACATAGAAGGAAAACCTTTCAAATGCAGTTTTTGTGGGAAGACCTTCAGCAGTAAGTCCTACCTTGCAGTGCATCAACGAACTCATGTAGAAGAGAAACCCTACAAATGTGAGGGATGTGGGAAAGACTTCAGCAGCAAGTCCTACCTCACTGTCCATCAGAGAACTCACACAGGAGAGAAACTCCATGAGTGCAGTGACTGTGGGAAAGCCTTCAGTTTCAATTCACAACTTGTTATACATCAGAGAATCCACACAGGAGAGAGTCCCTATGAGTGCTGCGAGTGTGGGAAAGTATTCAGTAGGAAAGACCAGCTCGTTTCACACCAGAGAACTCATTCAGGACAGAAACCCTATGGTTGTAGTGAATGTGGGAAAACTTTCGGTTTGAAGTCACAGCTCATTATACATCAGAGGATTCATACAGGAGAGAAACCCTTTGAATGTAGCGAATGTCAGAAAGCTTTTAATACAAAGTCAAACCTTATGGTACATCAGAGGACCCATACAGGGGAGAAGCCCTATGGTTGTAGTGAATGTGGAAAAGCCTTCACTTTCAAGTCGCAGCTCATTGTACATCAGGGGCTTCACACAGGAGTAAAGCCCTATGGGTGCGTCCAGTGTGGAAAAGCCTTCAGCTTGAAGTCGCAGCTCATTGTGCATCAGAGAAGTCACACAGGAATGAAACCTTATGTATGCAGTGAATGTGGCAAAGCCTTCAGGAGCAAGTCGTACCTCATTATCCATATGAGAACTCACACAGGCGAGAAACTCCATGAGTGCAGTGACTGTGGGAAAGCCTTTAGTTTCAATTCACAACTCATTATACATCAGAGAATTCACACAGGAGAGAGTCCCTATGAGTGCCATGAATGTGGGAAAGCCTTCAGTCGGAAATACCAGCTCATTTCACACCAGAGAACCCATGCTGGGGAGAAGCCCTATGAATGCAGTGACTGTGGGAAGACTTTCGGTTTGAAGTCGCAGCTCATTATACATCAGAGAACTCACACGGGAGAGAAACCCTTTGAATGCAGCGACTGTAGCAAAGCCTTTAATACAAAGTCAAACCTTATTGTACACCAGAGAACCCATACAGGGGAGAAACCGTATGGTTGTAGTGAATGTGGAAAAGCCTTCACTTTCAAGTCGCAGCTCATTGTACATCAGGGAGCACACACTGGCGTAAAACCATATGGATGTAATCAGTGTGGGAAAGCCTTCAGCTTGAAGTCGCAGCTCATTGTGCATCAGAGAAGTCACACTGGAGTGAAACCCTATGGATGCAGTGAGTGTGGCAAAGCCTTCAGGAGCAAGTCATACCTCATTATCCATATGAGGACTCACACAGGAGAGAAACCACATGAGTGCAATGAATGTGGAAAATCCTTCAGTTTCAATTCACAGCTCATTGTGCATCAGAGAATCCACACAGGGGAAAATCCCTATGAATGCAGCGAGTGTGGAAAAGCCTTCAACAGGAAAGATCAGCTCATTTCCCATCAGCGAACTCATGCAGGGGAAAAACCTTACGGATGCAGTGACTGTGGGAAAGCCTTTAGTAGCAAGTCCTATCTCATTATACACATGCGAACTCATTCAGGAGAGAAACCATATGAATGTAACAAATGTGGGAAGGCGTTCATTTGGAAGTCACTACTCATTGTACATGAGCGAACTCACGCAGGGGAAAGCCCTTATAAATGTAGCCAGTGTGAGAAATCCTTCAGTGGAAAGTTACGGCTCATTGTACATCAGAGAATGCACACAAGAGAGAAACCCTATGAATGCAGTGAATGTGAGAAGGCTTTCATTAGGAAATCTCAGCTCATTGTACATCAGAGAACTCATTCAGGGGAGAAGCCCTATGGATGCGATGAATGTGGGAAAACCTTCTCTCAGAAGTCTATCCTCAGTGCGCATCAGAGGACTCACACGGGAGAGAAACCCTGTAAATGCACTGAATGTGGAAAAGCCTTTTGTTGGAAGTCACAGCTCATTATGCATCAGAGAACTCATGTAGACGAAAAACATGTTGATGAGTTAAATGTAAGAAATTTTCTTCCGAAAGTCAACTCATAGGAAATACCAGCAAATTCATATAGAAGAGAAACTCCGTGAGATCATCTCATTGTACACCAGGAAACTAATACTGAATAGAAACCTGTGAATGCACTGCATGGACAGGGACACCCACAGAAAGCTGCTTTTTACACATACCCTCCCCACCCCACCCCCAGTAAATGCACACAGGAATGTTATGAAAGTGAACCCCGTGGAAGTTTTCAGCAGCAAGTCATACCTTTTTTTTAAAAAAGATTTTATTGGGGCGGCTGGGTGGCTCAGTGGGTTAAAACCTCTGCCTTTGGCTCAGGTCATGATCTCAGGGTCCTGGGATCGAGCCCTGCATCGGGCTCTGTGCTCAGCGGGGAGCCTGCTTCTTCCCTCTCTCTCTGCCTGCCTCTCTCCCTACTTGTGATCTCTATCAAATAAATAAAATATTAAAAAAAATAAATTTTATTTATTTATTTGACACAGATCACAAGTAGGCAGAGAGAGAGGGGGGAGCAGGCTCCCCGCCGAGCAGAGAACCTGATGTAGGGCTCGATCCCAGGACCCCAAGATCATGACCTGAGCCAAAGGCAGAGGCTTTAACCCATGGAGCCACCCAGGTGCCCTAAGTCATATGCTTTTTAAAGCTTGTACAGGTGAGGAACCATAACAATGAAGTGAATATTGGAAAGTTATTTTTTTACTGTGATAAATTTTTTACTGTGATAAATTTGCAAAGAGGAAGTTTCATAAAACAAGTAAATATGGAACACACTGCTTTGAAATTTGTATTAAACAGGAGGATTTTTTAAAACAGTATTTTAATGAGAAAAATGGAAACCAACGAATGGAAGAATTATCAAAATCACACATACTTTATGTATCAGAAGCTCATACTTTGGAGAAACTATACTATCAATTAGGGGAGTTCTTGATATAAGAAAGACAAACTTCCATGAAAAAATTAATAATATGTGGTGGTAACAAAAGTCTCAATAGAAAGGTTCCCCTTACTGTTATTTTGATTAATTTGGAAAACAATTTCCTTTACAAATTATTGTGAGGGAAATTGTGTTCCAGATGTTCCAAATTGTTAGGAAAAGGTTGGAGAAAACCTCAACTATAAATGATAGGCATGTCCAAAAGGAATATATATATTTTTCCAAGTAAATAAATGCAATCACAATAACCAGAAATACATTGAAAGACCTACAGGGATATTTAGATGTTATCTTCCTTGGTACTGTGTGAGTTTTGTGTAGTTTGGCATTTTACCTATGAATGTCACATATGAGAGGTAAGTTAGGTAGATACATGCCATTGTCCGGGAACTTGTACTTTGCATAGCAACATTGTTTTTAACAAATACAACTTGCTACTAGAATGATATGATTTATTAGAAATCCATTTAAATACTACAAACCTTCCCTACTACTTTGTAGCCTTTGTAAGTGGGCCTGGCAGTGACTTCTTTAGTTACATACGTGGGTATAGTTCCAAATCAGGTGCTTGTGTAGCTGGAATGTGTTCTGCCCCCAGCAGTTAGAACATCTTGATTTTCTTTAAGATAATCTCTGAGCGTAGGAGGTCATGGTGGGTTCATCACTCATGGTGCCCTGCGAAGGAGTCGGCATGATCATTAAGGTAGGCTAAGATACTCATTCCAGATTTCAGATTTCTGATGGACTCCTTAAGTACCAGAAAGAAAACAACTTTTGTTTTCTGATAACATTTTCCTGCAATTATTAATTAGTTCCTTCTATACAGACTACCCATGGTAGCTTTAGTTATTGTCACTTTACAACTCTAGTGCACTTGTCTTTCTATTTGAGTCCCCGGTATGTGTCTCAGGCAGACATGTATGTGATGCCGTGGAGATGTGTACAGGCACACCTCATTGGCTGTGCTTTGCAGGGAATGCTTTTTCCCCGCAACGTGAAGGCTTGTGGCAACCCTGCATTGAGCCAGTGGGTTAGTTTTCCAACAGCATTTGTTACTTCATGCCTCTGTGTCACATGGTAGTAATTCTGGCAATATTCCTCGCTTTTCATTACTTCTTATGTTGACATCTCATTACTGCTTGTGATTTGCTGAAAGCTCAGCGTGTTTTAGCAATATTCCTAAATAAGGTATTTTCTTTCCTTTTTTTTTTTTTGAAAGACATAATGCTTTTGCACTCCCAATACACTACAGTACTACAGTGTAGTGTAAACATAACTTGTATGCATTGAGTAACAACAAAAAAAAAATTCATTTGCCTCGGTTTATTGCTTCATTTGCTTCATCATGGTGGTCTGGAACGGCCCTGAGGCATCTCCAAGGTAATCAATGCCTGTTTGTATAGCTGGAGAGTCAGAGTAGTAAAAAGTCATTCTGCCACTTGCCTTCTTACAAAGTCCATTTTCCTCACCAGTTTGTGTACATGAAAGAGCATTTACCTAAAAAGAGTTGAGGCCATAGCATTTAGGACTGTTTTGGAGGAATATGACTGTTCCAAACCACAAGTATATCTGAAAACACCCTCCACTTTCTACTCTGTACTTCAGGAGGGAATCCCATCTTTTACCCAAAGAAACTTTTGCTTCTTTGGAGGAGATATTTAGTGATTTCTGAATGTCTGGTCCTTATTATATTCAGTTCATTATACAAGATCTGGTCTAAAGATATGTGGGGTGTAGAAGGATGGTTCACAGAAGGGAAGAGAAAGTTGTATAAAGACTGAATGCCAGTATTTGTAAAGTATATCCCCCAAATCTGGAAAACATGAATATGTGTTTTGTCATACATGTTCTGAGGAAGATTCACACATAATAAAGAGTGAATACCTAAGAGGAAGTCTACATTCAGTGTACTACTACCCCGTGTCAGTTAGATTTTAAAGGTTTCTGATTGTGTGAGGCAAATCCACATGCAACATGTTACCCAGTAGATGCCAGAAATGGTGACATAATGTTGAAGACAGAAATGAAATATTGTGGGAAAGGCTAATGCTAACGTTAAGGTCTTAATCTGAAGTGAAAAAGAAAATTTAGGGCTCCTGGCTACCTCAGTCTTTTGAGTGTGCAACTCTTGATCTCAGGGTTGTGGGTTTGAGCCCTGCCTTGGGTAAAGAAAAGAAAAAGTTTGAAATTTAACAAAATGAATAGACCTGTAACTAGTGAACAAAAAGGAAAAGTAAAGATTTGAATCCCTGGCTTGAAAATCTACTCAGTCTTTCTAACCCTCCCCCAGTTGCAGAACAGAAAGAAATTCCAGAGACTTCTAGCAATAGTTGATAATTCTCAGGAAAAGTCAAGGAACAATAACTAGCGTTTTATAGGTTTTCCCAAAAATTGACCTGTGGGGGATAAATGATGCAATTCATATTTATGGACATCACAGAAAATAAACTTAATGTTATTATAGCAAAACAAATGAATAACGTGGTGGTTTTCTTTTTTTAAAGTAATGACAATAGTAAGTTTAGCAGACCTTTTTTTTTTTTCAAGATTTTATTTGTTTATATAACAGGCAGAGATCACAAGGAGGCAAAGAAGGAGGCAGAAGGTGAGGAAGAAGCAGGCTTCCCGCTGAGCAGAGAGCCCAACATGGGGCTTGATCCCAGGACCCTGAGATCATGACTGAGCTGAAGGCAGAGGCTTAACCCACTGAGCCACCCAGGTGCCCCATCACTATACTTTTCATAATGCCAGTGCACTCAGCCTAAAAGCGACATTTCTCCACTGTCTTTGTAGCAAAGTATGATCTTACTGCTAAATTCTGAGTAATGAGTTAGAGATTCCTGACAGTGTCTAATGGGAAGATTGTCAAGAAGAGAGCTGAGGAAAGCCTCTCAGTGTCCTGTAATCATTCCTCACTTCAATACACAGCACACATGGTCCTTGGAACTTAAGCAGCCACTGTAGAGCCTGGTACCTCAGGAAGACAGAAGCCATCTGCTGTAGGGCTATCTGTTATACCAGCCCCACACCACCAGCACTGAAGTATCTGCTATGTAAGGGGAAATGAGCTGTCTTGTTTAATCCTCCTTTTCTTTTGTTGGGTAGGAAGAGAGTTGGTTCTGTTATATGCAGTGGAATGTGACCCTATAAAAATACATTGATGTTTGGGGATTTAATAATAGAAAATGTTTCCATAAAAGTATCCACACTTCCAGATTTTAAAAGATGGTCATATGATTATCTCAATGTGTATAGATAACACATTTGATGGAATTTAGTACCCATAGGTTATTTTTAAATATTAAAGTAGGAATGGAAATTAAGTCCTTTACCTTTGCAAGGAGTATGTTCCAAAAACTGACAAATGTTGCACTTAATGGTGTGTGTGTGTGTGTGTGTGTGTGTGTGTGTGTGTATACACACATTTTATATTATATATTAAGAAAATTACACCGGTGCTCATGACTTTTTGAACAGTGTATGAACATTCTAGCCAATATGTGAAAAGAAAGTAAGGAATTGGAGATGAGGGCAGAAAAGAAAAGTTCCATTGTTTGGAGATTTTGCCTCTATAGGAAAGCTAAAATAAGTTTCAGGCAAATATTTAGAATTGCAATAGAGTAGGACTTGTACTGGACATAAACCCAGTTTTCAGGAATCAGTTGTGTTGTTCAGCTTCTGGTTAAACTGGATAATCTATAGCCTCTTAGAAAACAGAACCCAAGCCCAAATGAACATAGCAGTAGAGAGTAGGGAGCACTTTATGTAAGAAAAGGAGAGTTGCTGCTCTCATTCTCAGTGAAATGCAGGAAGAGAAGAGGGCCAGCATGGCATGTGGGGGTGAGACAGGCGGATGGTTGTCTGCGGACTGGGCTGACACAGAATCCTGAAACCTCTTGGGAACACCTGGGTGGCCCAGTTGGTTAGGCATCTGCCTTTGGCTCGGGATTGTGATCCCAGGGTCCTGGGATTGAGCCCCGCATAGGGATCCTTGGTAATTGGGGGTTCTACTCCTTTTCTCTCTGCCTGCTGTTCCCCGTGCTTGTGCTCTTTCCAATCCCCTTGCTGTCAAATAAATAAAATCCTAAAAAAAAGAGAGGGAAAAAAAAAAAAAAAGAATCCCAAAGTCCCCGCTCTGAAGGAGTGTTCAGCCAACTTTTTGCCATGGGTCTTCATGGAACCTTTGGTAGAGAAAGCTTTAAAAAAAATCATGTCAAGATCCTCCTTTAAGGTGGATACTACTGAAGGCAGGAAGGTGGACAGGGCAACAGTTGAGGGATATCCCTTAGAAGCTCTCTGGATTTTTGGCTGAGGGAGGGATAAAGAACTGAGA